ATATATATATATATATATATATATATATATATATTAAGAAACTTAGCTCAAAGTAATAATATATAAAAAAAGATATATAGAGAGAAAGATTCTTATTTCTTTCATATATTTAAATGTGTATAATGTGATGCCCAAATACTTTATTTATAGAGTAGTTTTTGAAGTTTTCTAAAATACATGTCCAAACACAATTTCAACTTTTAAAATCATATTTCATCTCATCTTTAAAAATTTATTTTTTTCAGGCAAGCTTAGTAACTCTTTAACTCCAAGCATATTTGATGCCACATTCAACGGCATTTTGGTGCACTACATTCATTTTTAGTTTGAGATGACAAGATTTAAATTCTTCCTTATTTTTCTTAAATTCTGTACTTGATTAAACTAAAACACATTAAAATGAAACAGAAGTAGTATAAGATCTCTTAAATTGATGGTGTAAATAGATTTAAACTATGTCATCTAAAAGCTAGCTTCAAAAAAACATAAAATATACAAACATTATCAGTTGCACCAACCTGAAAGTGTATTTTTTGCATAGAGAGTAATTTTTAGATATCTTTTGGTGTTTTATTTTTGTTTCAATGAGTGTTTGGCTGAATATATAATTAGGTTAGTTGTACCAATCTGAAAATACTGTATTTTTTTTGTTTCTCAATCTGAAAGATGATACTCCAATTGTACAATCTGACTTGATATAAAAGTAGGTTATGTATAGTAATTGAACAATCTAAAAGATACAGATTTTGGAAAAACCATTGTAGGATTTGATGTCGAGAAATCTATCCTTAATTTGCTGGAACAAGAAATATTTATTAATAAAACGGGAAAAGCTGTTTTGGTCATTAAATATTGTGTTATTCCAGTTTTGATCCTTGTATTAATAAACTTAATACATATAACCCTTGATTAAACAAAATGTGTGATTTCAGTCCTTAAAACTATTTTTCATTATTTTTTTGTTTTTTCATTACGAAAATGCCTTTAATTTTTTCTCTTCTTCCCACGAAAGTTTGTGACTTCTCCGTTCAGAGTGGAAATTTTCTTTAATTTTTCATCATTCCTATCATAACAACTATTCCATGTATTCTTTCTCAACCTTCATGCCAAATATTATTTAAAAAAATTTATTTTAATAAAAGGTCTTTCGTCAATCATATTTGCATGCCAGGGCTAATAAAGAATCGTGGGAGATGGCAAAGAGACTTTTAGTGCATTTCGTGTATACAGTTATTACGAGTCGCCTACATTCAAATGTTTGTTCAAATATTGGTACAAAAAAGATGCTTGTGTATCATCGTATAATGTTTGCAATCTCTTCTACATCTTCGTGAAAAACATGAAAAGCATATGTCTATTAAGATGCATTCCTTTGGCCAGCATATTGGTGTTTTTCTTCGAGTAGTGTTTGTTAATTTGTAGTTTTGATGGAGGAGCGGATGAACAAAAGGTAAATAAAGATTTTAGCCAAAAGCAAAAGATTCCCGAGGCCCAAACGAGAACACAAGCAGCAGGGCAAGTATTCTCTAAAAAGAAAGAAAATAGATTGTCATAGCGAAACGTTCGCAGAGCTTGAGGTATGCCCTTGGACATTTTAGTAAAAATAAAAATTTAGCTTTAGAGACTAAAATCATACATAGAGTTTTTTTTTTCTGAGATAATTTAGTTTAAGATTATGGTTCGTCTACTATATTTGCCATAGATATAAAAGTAGTTGGTATAGTTGATGATACCCTAATAATTTTGCAAAGCAGACTCATAAAATGGTCAACTGGATTTTTCTGTATTAAAACTAGGGAAGAATCATGAAAAGGGGAATCTAAACTTGTAAAAGTTTGTTTTGGAAAATGGAGTTGAAAATGGTCAACTTGCTTCATAGTGCTCCATTTTGTCAAAGGAATCCTCATCTTTTTGACCAATGCTTTTCAAGAAATACAAAGTGTGATATTTTCTCCCTCCTTGTTCATTCTCATCGCCATAGTTAAAAGTAATGATACATTTAGATTAATTAAAGGTATCAAGTATGTTAAGCTAAATAAAGAGAAACAAAATTAGAATAATACAAAATCTCAAGGATCTTAATTGTTATTTTCCCTTGGTAAAAACTGAGATACTTGTGAATGCTCTTTTTTTTTCTTTTTTTTTTTGAGCGAAAACAGAAAGATGTGTTCACCATCATAGGTACTTAAAATATTATGTCCGAAAAGGTGGATAGATATGACTACTAATTGCTCGATCAAGACCCTAGATTTATTGCGAGCCAAACACTTAATTTATACGCCCCTTTCTCTACATAAGGATATTCTATCCAATTATCAGCCCCGATTTAAAAGGATAAAAAAAAAAGAATTGAAGACAGGCTTAATAATCAGAGAGAACCCCTCATCAAGTTACTAAGAACATCTAACGTAAATGAGATTGGATTCATAGTGCAATTCAAGATAACTAAATAGGAGTATTATAATTATCTAACATATGGAGTACTAAAACTTTTGTATAATGAAAGCCCTTTTGTACATTATAACACCTAAATATAGGAGCTAACCAATTTCGGTAAAAGTTTTCTCTCGTTTTCCTTATGATTTCACCATTGTGCCATAAATATAATGGTTTTGTTTGACTAGTCATTCTTTAAGATTTTAAGAATAAATTAAAAAAGACATCCATTCGCATTCGAGGTTGAGACTTATTTCATAATAAATTAAGTTGATCGTGGAGAATATTGGTATAACTTTATCATGAAATTGATGTTATTGGTACAATATAAAGTAAGAGTTTGATATAACGTACAAAAAGGCCACTGTTATGGAAATCACATTGACTATCTGCATTTTAAGTGTCCTTTTTTTTTCTAGTGATAAAGAAAAAGAAAAAGATTTGAAAATGATTATTCCATCTTTTTCTTTTTCTCCTATGAAAATCCATCCTATCTTCTGTTATATACTTTTTTACATAGTGGGAATATTGGAGAGTTTTTCCATATATTCCAGATGCATTACGTCCAGAATTGGGCGAGTTACACATACGATGGGTTGGCTAAAAATAATTACATGCGCTAGCCAAAATATAAAAAATATTTACTGATTAAGTATAAAATATGTAAGTATAATTTTATATATTATACATTAATATACAAAAGATATATATTTTGCTGGCTATTATTTTTTTAATGTGGCGATACTGAATCATATTCCCTCCGGAATTCGTAGGCTTTTTTTTTCCGTGGGTTTCATTATTCTCTCTCTCTCTTTGTAATTACTATAAACATTATGTTGCTAGCAATTTTGGGATAGGAAGAATCAAATTTCAAATCTTGAAGTCGTAAGATGCTTATAGCACCGAAGTCCCATTTGATTTTAGAGAGGTGATTCAAAAATTTAAAAACAAAATGGCTTCTATATAAAAAGGACAGATATTCTTTTTCCCGAAAAATCAAACGAAAAGTTTTTCAGAAATCAATACAATCCAAAGATAGATTTATACAGAAATTAACACAGTTGTTTTGCAAAAATTTATCACAAATGAATCCAAACATACATATAGATTATTCATTATATTTCACAATATATTAAGATTTCGTATTCGTGAATAATTTGGTTCTTATTCTACTCATCAAATGTCATTAATGTATACTATATAAGATAGCAGTTGAAATACATTCATAACTTCAACTAGAATTATATAGTAATAAATTTATATTTTGAAAATTTTATTTCCATACGAAGTCAGCAGAAATTGTCAAAGAATAATGATTGCATTGTCCTTTGTTCGCACTGGCCCAAAAATCTTAAATTCTTGGCATGGCAAAAGCTATTTTCAAGAAAAACAATTTAAATGAAGAAATAACTTTATGGTATTTGGTTAACAAAAAATATTTTTCATATGATATCTATTTCAAAAAAAAAAAAATGATATCCTTCACTTTGGAAAGAAGTCATTTTTTTACAAATTATGCTAACTCTTAGTTTTATATCCCCATTTTCAACAAAACACTTGCATGTTATCTTCATTATATATTACTTTTTCTCCCATTTTATGTAATATCTTTTTCTTTTAATCTATCCAAAAAATTAACACATTTTCATATTTAGAAATAATTTGATTGTAAACTTCCGCTCAAACATCTATAACTTGCTTTAGATCATAAATTTTAAAAATCTTTATATTTTTCGTCAATTTCGTGCCTAGTTAAACGCATCACATAAAATAAAAATGAGAGAATAATAAAATTTCAGTAAAACACTATCTCTAGTATAGTTTTCCAAAAAAAAAAGAAAAGAAAATCACTAATCAAACAACAATTTTTTTTATAGAAAAATCTATACAGTACAATCCTATGGTCCTTTTTTTGTTTTTTGTTTTTTTGAATTTGGGTACAAATTTCCTATTCTCTGCTGTCAGTACGCGTCAACATAGTAAAAACAAAAGGTCGAAATAGAGATATCCAATGATTGATTGACATTTCACCGACCAAAATTTGTCGCAAACTTTCTGTTGACCAGCAATAATAGCGGCGGCGCGTAACACCCAATTTTCGCAATTAAAACCCTAACCAAAAGCATATTATTATATGATCATTAAATTAATATATCAGTTTCCTTAATAATTTCCAGCTGTTCTTCTTCAATCACTCTTGTACTCCCAAATTTTCAGCCATTTTTAATTAATATATTCACACACAAATCCCCATAAGCTCATTTTTTACATGCAACTTTCTTGAAATTCGATCCTCTTATCCAGTTTTATTGGAGGTGTGCTTGTTCTTGCTTGAATTTCAATTTATAATCAATTTCACTTATCATTACTTCATAGAAATTATTAAAATTATTTGGTGACGTCATCATTTTGCTGCTATATAGATTATATCAATTTTGTTGCGTGTAAACATCAATTACAAGGAGTTGAAGATCATCTGCAATAAAGGTATCATCTTTAGCTTCTGGGTTTTTTATATTCATGATTTTTTCTTGGTTCTTGGATTTTTTGGGTTTTTTTCACTGTGTTTTATGTTGTGGGTGAGTAATTAGTAAGTACTTATGTGAAATGAATTAGTAGCTTAGGTTGTTGCTAGTTATAGTATTTATGAGATTCCACTTATGTGAGCTTTGTAAAACATATTCAGCCAGAGACGAACCTATGCTATACCGAGAGGGGTCACCGGCACCCGTAAAGTTCAGCAAAAATTCATGTATATATGTATATATTTTTAAAAATAGTAATATATTAGCAGTGATACACTACATACAAAGCAGTTTTTGGTTGAATAATTTAGCCTTTAAGTTTGCATAAAAGGAGGACAGTTGCAGTAGGTTGACCGCCAGCATAAAAAATAGTCTAATTAAGACAAATCCGTTCAACATATATACAGGAGATTGAGGGGTATTTGAATCTTCTGTATATAGGAAAATTCATATAGCCTACCGCAACTAGTTTGGAACTGAGGCTTATTTGATTGAGAGTGATGATGGGAATGATTATGTTGGGTTTTGAGTTAACTTCTGTGTTGTGGTTAATGATGGTAATTTATTGTATTTTATGATGTCTCTGGGTTGGACTTTCTCAGTGTTGGGAATTTTATCATTTATTTATAATGATGATGTTAATAACCATGGTCTGCTGCTTTTTAGCTTTGGTTGCACATATTTGACTCTCTGTCTCTTCTTCATGTACACTTGTGAGTGGTGATATTTGAAGGTATCCTATGTTCATTTCTTTGGCTAAAGCAGAACAAGAACATGTATTTCCACATTTTCAAATCATTTTCTCATTTTCTGTAAATCAAAATCCACATGTAAAACTTTCTCATCTGTGTGATTTAGATTGAATTAAGTTCCCCTTCTTCTTTACTTAGGAGCTATCTTACTGATGTGAATTTAGCTGTCTGCTTTGTCTTTTATTAGGTGAACACACATGGGTATAGAATCAGCTTTATGTGCTCAAAGTCTGAAGCTTTTTGTTGTTGTTCATTTGGATATTTCTGTGTGTAAACACCATCATTCGATGCCTCTTTGATTACTTTTAAAAATATTTTTAATGTTGTAGGAATTATTTTTCTGCAGCTTAGAACAGAGAAAAGTGATAGGTTCTTGACAGCATTCTCTTGCTCTGGGATGTTTTGGAATACAATTATCTGTTAACTCAATTGCAGCAAACTTATTATATTTTCTGGCATGGTGGCATGCCTTTCATATCTCTTGTATGTATTTATTCAAATCTTTTCGAATGAAGTGTTAGTGTGTTACAATGTCTTTAGAGTTGGTGTACAATTTTAGTATTTAGTCAGGTCTTTAGAATGTTGTTAGAGTTGGTGTTAAATTTTAGTGTCAAATTAGTCCTTCTTTAGTTAAATATAGGATATGGATTGTATCTCTTGCCTAGTTTTGTATTCAATATCATCAAGTCATCAATATATCCCTTCCCTTCTCTTTTTCTCTCTTAAAAAATCATGATTTGCATCTACTCTGCTCTTGTAGACAGAATTGTTAAGCTGCAAAACTAACACAATTCTCGTCATATCTGCACAGTGCCTGGTTTAATCGACCAGACTAGCTAAAGAGTTGTTGAAACAGATGGAACAGAAGCAGCACACACCAAGTGTTATAGCAAGGCTGATGGGCATTGACGAGCTTCCACCTCAGCAGCCTCTCCCTGCTAAGAAAAGGAGAGTACTCTCTGAGAACTATCTCCGGAACACGGCTACTATAGGTTTGCGAGAGAAGAGCTCATTCTCTGTTGGCCTCTCCCGTGGAATAAATACTCAGAAGCATCAAGTAGCTAAACATGTATTCGGAGTTGAGATGCCAGATATTTATAGCCATGAAAAAGCAAGCCAAAATGCAGCCAAGTTGAAGAGGCAGAAATATAGTGATTCTAGTTTTACATCAATGAAGGAGAAGAATTCTTACTTTAAGCTCTCCAAAGGTACCTCAGAATGTTTACTATCTGAAAATACTTCGAGATCTCTTCATAGACTTGGGATTGGTACAACAAAAGATGATGTTGGAGAATGTGCTATTCATCACTTGAAGAAAATAAACTCAGAGTTTGATCCAAACAGAAACATGCTTCATCCGTCTGGAAGAATTATTGCGCTCAAACCTAGCTCTAGAAAGTCTCGTAACACCAAAAACCAGTCATTTTCTCTTAGGCCTGCTGTGGAATCCGATCCTGTTGATTCGAAGTACAAGGAATTCACAAAAAATGAAATTGGGGCAGTAGTTATTGAGAAATCAGGAAGAGCAAATGGTGTTAATAGCTTGGAACCTCTAAACATTGGGGTTAGAGTTCCAAGGAAAATAGCACAGACAAGGAACCTTGGACAACACGAACTTAATCACAGTTTAAAACTCACATCAAGAGCAGAAAGCATCAGCAACACTTTTCTGAAGGCCGAGGTTCTAAATCCGCCCTCTTCAAATTTATTTACTACAAGAAGAGGAGATGATACTTCCTTTTCAAAGAGGTCATCTTTTGCCAAAGAAGAGAAGAAGCAAATCATTGAAAGATGGAAACTGACGAATGATTTTCAAGAAGTTGAAATAGCTCGTAGAAGCCTGAGTCATGGAGAAATGCTTGCTATGGATGACTTAGAAACGAGGCCTCAATATTTGGACACACAACGTGACAAACATAGTTTTGGCAGTTCATTCAGTATGCACATTGGGATCTCGGGCTCGTGCAATCCTCTGGGTATCAGTAGCAAGGACGGCTGGAAGGATGACTACAGCAGAAATTCGCCAATTCCAAACCATTCTATTGATTCTAGGATAGCCTCTGGAAATCCTGAAGGGACGATTGGCAATAAAGCTTCTCTTTATGGATGGCATCTAAGGCAGAAAGTAGCTGTTTCTGAGAAAAATTCCAAGTCTATGAACCGAAAGCAGAAAGATAGTGCGGAATATAGAGACTTAAACTTGAAGGAAGCCGATCAGTGTAGTCCAAATTCCGTTCTGGAGCCACCTTTCCAGGAAGAGAAGCTCCGAACCTCTGAATTCCATGTCTTATGTAGTAAGTAAACAAAAACCCGTGTTAACTATTTTTTCTACAGCGTTCATCCAATCTCATTTTCACTCTTCTAAACTTGTAAGGTGTAGCAGCACAACTTCAGTTTCCTGAGACCAACTCCGAGGAAATATATTCAGAAGGATCTGAAATGGGTGTCTCGAATGATGAACACTCCGAGAGAGGGTCTCTTGATCTCCTTCAAGATAGTGAAAACATATTGCCGGACTTCAAAGTTGCAGAAAGCAGGGACTTCTCCTACCTGGTTGATGTTTTAGATGAGGCCAGTTTGCATGGCATGAACCTAGGAATTTGTTTTGAGACGTGGCATTCTTTGGACTGCCCTGTGAACCCCTCAGTGTTTGACTTATTAGAGAAAAAGTACGGGAAGCAAACATCTTGGCTAAAATCAGAGAGGAAGCTTTTGTTTGACCGCATAAATTCAGGGCTGAGTGAGATTTTGCATTCATTTCTGGATATCTACATAAGGGAAAAATCTTTGAGGAGAAGGTGTTGTTCTGCATTGAGGAGAATTGACGTTGAAGAAGAGTTGTGGATGATACTGGTTAGTCAGGAAAATGAAGTGCGCAAGGACTTGTCCGGAAAGGCAATTGGAAATGAAACCAAATGGTTGCAGGTTGAGGAGGAACTTAGTAGCATTTGTAGAGAAATAGAGAAATATTTGTTTGATGAGTTAGCTGCAGAATTAGCATTGCATTGAAAGCATATAAAATGGGATTTTTGGCCGCTTATGTTTTCCCACTATTTCCCTCCTCAAGTTACTGGGAATAGATTTAGTTTTTTCCAACAGCAGTTTTGATCTGAAAGTATAGGATGTTGTGTAGAGAATCTGAAAGATGTGGCGCTATTTATTCTTATATTCATCAAACACTTTGTGCAATTCTTGTTTTTCTGTAGAATATCCCATGCTGATGCATGTAAGAGATTTGGTGTAAATGACTAAATATGAATACTATTGGTATATTTCTGAAGGCAGAGAGCCAGAAATTTAAAGGAAATTATCACTGAGCAGGAGTTATGCTATTAATTCTTGCTTTGGATTTACTTTAGCGCATATCTTTTTAAATACTAGGAGTAATATTTTTAGACATGTAACATCCAGAAGGAATTCTACAAGCTATTTTGCCTTGTGACTGCTTTTCCTTTTGCTGCTATATTGGTGTAAAAAGTTTCCAGGGTATAGATTTTGGAAGTCCTTTCCTTTCATTAGATATCTCTATGTATACATAATTAGTGTTTCGTAATATGTGATGACCAAATGAAACTCCAAGTTGGATACGCCTTTTGGGACAGAGTAAAAAAGCTCTGATATAGATCATAATATAATCGACACATTTAACCATTCAATTACATGCTGCAAAGTACATAATGTAAATATTCCGAAATACAGAAAACATGTTGAGTTAACACCTTATCTAGAAGACATGCTGCTTAAGGGGTGATGTAGACAGTAAAGTGGGTAATTGTCTCCACTCCATCAGTTGTATGTTGGTCCACGTGAGGAAGAGTTTCGATGGTGGCAAATCCTTTAGCATTTTCATACTTGCCAGTCCCTCCAATGATGGCAATGTGCGAAATTGGTGTGGCTGTCCTGTGAATTCCAAAGAAACTAATGGTATCATCCACTTCATGATCGTGTTCTCCATGGAATAGTGCTGCCAAGGCTAAAGTGTGGCTGGTGCCATCTGAAGAGCTTGTCAGGTAAAATCCTTGTGCTTTGCCGAGAACAGCTGATCCCAGTTCGTGCCCCTCGGTTATTTCATTGTCAACGACAGTAATAGAGCCAAACATGAGCTGCTGAAGCGATAAGCCAGAAGGAAGCTGACCGGCTGTTACAAAAGGTTGGTTGTTACCACCATTAACTACATTGTTGTTTCCGCTGTTTTGCAGGACAGTGTTAGCTTGTTGCTGACCATTTAGGCCTGCAAGGAATGGATAGTTGTTGTTGTTGACAACGTTGTTAATGTTGTTCAAAGGAACTCCACCATTGATTGGGAAGATTTGATTGGTGGTTGTCGAGAAAGGGAGATTGTTGGCATCAGAAGTGGCTACAATTCCAGTGACCACTCTTCCTGAAGGCTGTGAACCACCAAGGATGTCATGCATGAAAAAGGAGAATGTCGGGTGCTCAAGGACAGGACTTTCTACTGCGGCCCCACCTGAGGTTGCAGTGGCCACTCCTGGTGTTTGGCTGACAGGGGTAGTTACTGGTGCTGCATCGGCAACGGGGGCTGCTCCAGTGTCTGGTAAGTCAGCAGGAGGAGCCACAGAGGCAGCAGGGGCGACAACAGGGATGGAATCTGGTTCAGGTTCAGCTGGTAAATCTGCTGGAGGAGCCACTGTGTCAGCAGGGATGGAAGAATCAGCTACAGGCGCCACGTCAGAATCAGGAGCAGTGACAGTAGCTGGTAATTGGTTACTTGGCAATGTGGCAGCTGGGGCAACCACAGGAGCTACAACAGGATCATCTGTTTCCGATGATGCGTCAGCCACTCGGTTCACTTCATCAAGGATTCTTGCTGAACTGGCACAACCGAAGGTGAGGGCTAGCAGCAAAATGCAGAACGTGGCTTGGAGTATTTTAGAGGTGAGTCGGGAAAATTTTGCCATTTTTTCTTGCGAATGACGCTAGGGGATGAGAGATTAGAAGAAACAAATGGAGCTGAGTAGATGCTTGATTGATGAGAAAAGAAAGGAGGCTCAATGGGTATATATAGTTTTGATTACATCCTTAATAAGAAGTGGAGCTGATAAGGTGGTTTTGGTAAGGAGTACTAAACACCCTTGTAGATACTATTTTTTTTTTGCAGAACAGCAAATCCAAAATGGACATCAGGTTTGGTTGGACCAACTCTGACAGCTTTTTGCTGATTATCTAGACAGTTATAGTATATTATTATCTTAAAACTAATCAATTTTTTTTTAAATTAGCAGTTTTTTAGGGTAAACCATATTGTTGTTCCATATACTAGGGACTTTACAGAAGCTTATTTCTTTTCAACATCTGCAGACAGAGTTGCCATGTCTCATTCTTCCTGTATTTCCTAGCTTAAGAAAATGCAATTTAAGTTTCCTTCCGTAGATAATAAAAGATTGAAATTTAGCAGTAAATCTTGTTGAAGGCAGAAACATTCTCTGAATTTCGTACAATTTTGAAAATGAGTTCCTAAACCCCTAGAATTTTCCGTAAGTTTCCTAAATGCTAAATATCTGGTGTAAATCTATAAGGAAATTTAAGTTCATTTCTCATAAATAGCACATCTTCAAGAATATATGTATTATCCATTCATCCATCAGCATTATCTGAATTTTTTTCAAATGAGCCGAGGGCCTATCGGAAACAGCTTCTCTACCCTCACAAAGCGGCAAGGTCTGAGTACACTTTACCCTCCCCAGACCCCACTTGTGGGATTACACTAGGATTATTGTTGTTGAGAAGGGTCTCTGCAGCTTATTCCGTGCTCCTTAATTGGTAACATATGTTAACTCTTAACTGCGTGAATGTAGTCTGTCACTTTAACAGTACTATGCCTGCCCCTGCACTATTCCCTTCGAATCTGGGCAGAGAAAGCACTTTCTTTGGGAGCAGTTTTTGAATAGACTTCAGCTGAAGTTAATTATGCACAATTCTATACTTTGTTTGATTTGCTTATGGAATAAAATGTTATGTTCGAAAACATTCTGTGGATTTCATATAACTTTGAAACCATTGATGATCTGTGTATATTTCTGATGGTATACACTTCGAAAAAGATCACGGTGACACTAATTGAAGTTCAGGTAATATTTCTGTTTGTATTGACGGAAAGCAAGAGTTTAACAAAAAATATGCAAGAAAAAATATAGGAGTGATCTTCACCCTTAAATAAATCTTGAACCAGCAAGAATTACAATAGAGAAAAGAAATTTCAAATTACATCACAATGATTACTCTAGCAAGTTATATGGTGGACTATCTTCTACTAACTTTTAACCAAGACAAACACTGAATGAAAGAATCTTGTATGTTCCTTCACTCTTATTAGAGGTTGCATTGACAATCTTGACAGTAGCATAGCCATTTGCATCATGATACTTTCCAGTGCCACCAATTACTGCTATATGTGATTCAAAAACATCACTCTTATGCACCCCGAAAAACCTTAAACTATCCTTGTATTCATTACTAAGAAAGCTAGTAGTCATTGCCATCATATGACTGCTGCCGTCTTCTGAACTAGCGACATACATTCCTTGAGCTTTTCCCATCAAAGTCGAGCCATAAATAGAACCTTCGTATATGTCCTCATCTATTGTTGTCACTGTCCCTAGCTCTAATTCCTGAAGTGTAGCTATAGCTGGGAATGTCATGCTGATTCCTTCCAAATCAAGCGTGTGAGTATGCAATCCATTCATTTCAACACTTGGATTTGTGTCGGTCAATGGAATGCCTCCCACAGGAGGGAAATAGCCTAATGGTTTCGAGAAGGGAAGCTGATGACTATTTACTTTTGTTGGTGCAGGTTTTGACGAACGGTGTTTTTGGCTAAGAACATCTAGCATGTAAAAGGATATTTCATGGTGTGCATGATAATGATGATGGTTTGCTGGGGAAGGATTGTTATTCAGAGTTCTTGCAGAAAATGATCGATGCGTCAAGAAGAAGAAGAAGAAGAACCAAAAAATGGCTAGTTTAGAAGGAGATTTTATCATCTCCATAGATTGCAGAAGAGTTATTCTTTCTCTTTTCAGTAGGTTCTATGAGAGCTAAATTAAGATGGGGAGATCTCCAATAATACTTGGTTTGGAGTGGAGTAGTTATTGTATTAATGAAGTAGTTAACTTTTGGGGCTATTATCCTCCCAGGACTTCAGCTAGTCCAGTATTAGTAGTATTTATGGTAGTTAATGTCTAAGGACTATTATCTGCTATCAAGAAGGATGAAGAAAGAAAGGAGATTCAGATATAGTATTGACACGCAATTTCGCTTTCTGTTGGTAGTAGGTTTTTATGACTAACCGTTGTTTTCTTTCATTGTTGATCACCTTACTATCTGGTTGTTTTTATTATGCTTTTATATGGCTTCTTGATACTGTCCCTTCTTTTCTATATTTTCATTAATGGTGCTTATAAGCCTAAGCCGAGGGTCTATTGGAAACCGTCTCTCTATCCTCACAAGGTAGGGGTAAGGTTTGCGTACATACTACCCTCCCAGATCCCACGGTGTGAGATATTACTGGGTATGGGTATGTTGTTGTAGTAGTATTTGATCTATATGAATTTGAGATTTTTGAACTACAACACAAAAAAATCATTTAATTACCCATTAGTGTGCTTGTATCTTTTGTATGGCATGACAAGAATGACTATAATAGTAATGTTAAACAAATACATTTATGGTGACTTAAATTGGGCTGTCCAGTTAAAATTAGTGACAAAAAATAGATGGAAGTGCAATAAAAGTTGACTCACGAGGCAATCAGTATGTACTCCTTATTTTGGTTCCCTTTTGCATTGTTATTTTGGCTATTCATCTATTTTTTAAAACACAGCTTCTGAAATTAATTCTAAGTGATTCAAAATTATTCTAGCACAATCTTGATTACGATTCGAATTATTTATGTTTGTTTGAATAACTTTTGAGAATCGAACTTATTATGCTAGCACAATCTTGGTTTCGAATACTAGTCTTATATTTGAAATATGTAAAAAAAAAAAAAAAAAAAAAAAAAAAAAAAAAAAAATTGCCACTGCTAGATTGAAGTTGACTTCTAATGTACGTTGCATGATACTACTCTTTCTCTTCTATTTTTCAAACAATCCCTTCTATCTTTGTGCATAAATTGGTGCGTTGAATTGTATATGTAATAAGGCCAAATTATCATGATATTTATCGTGACATAATATTTATTATAACAAAATTTGTGAATCATGACATTTGCCATGACATAATATTTATTATTAGGCCAATGATTTCTTGTTATAAATAGAGGAGCTTCTCCTCATTTGCAAACACACCAATTCAAGAGCTTTTCACTCTTGTCTTTCTTTCTCCTCATTTATTTCATTATAGAGTATTTTGTAAGAGAGTGGGTGTTGGAAAATACTTGTGTGAACCCTTTCTTTGGAGTGATCTTGTGAGGTTATTCTCTTGGGGTATTTGGTAATTAGAGTATTTACTCTAATTTTATACTCTCTTTTGTACTCTTATTGGTATAGTGAAATTGCTTCTCTTCGCTTGTGGACGTAGGTCACTTTGACCGAATCACGTTAAATTTGTGTCTTCTTTATCTTCTTTAATTGCCGTTATTATCAACTTGCATTGTCTTTGTTATTATCATTATAACGTTGTTTGGCTAAATTTCGCACTACCCGGTTTCTCGATCCTAATAAATTAGTATCATAGTCATATCTAACCGGGTTAGTTTAAATAGCCAAAATGACTCTAACAAAATCTTATGTTGAGAAATTTGATCGAAGTGCAAACTTTGGAATGTGGCAATTAAAGATGGAAGCTATCCTAATTCAGGATGGCTTAGATTTGGCACTGCAAGGAAATGAGAAGTTGCCGGATAAAATGACGGACGAGGAGTTTGCCGTCATAGACAGAAAGACAAAAGAAGATATTATTTTAAATCTTTCAAATGAAGTTTTACGTGAAGTTGTAGCAGAAAGCTCAGCCCAAGGCATATGGGAAAAACTTAAAACCCTATATATGAAAAGAACAGTAGAAAATAGTCTTTACCTAAAGCAAAAACTCTACACTTTTCGTATGGCTGAAGGTACCTCTATACTTACACATCTTGATACTTTTGATTCTCTTCTTATGGATTTAAGTAACATGGATGCTGAAATCAATGATGAGGATCAAAATGTGTTATTGCTTATTTTCTTACCCCAGTCGTTTAAACATATAAGAGATACTATGCTTTATAGAAAGGATAATATCTCTTATAAAGATATCAAGTCTATTTTGAAATCAAAAGAACAAATAGATAGAGATATTACTGGGGAAACTAGTGAGAACTAAGGGGAAGACTTATTCATAAGAGGTAGATCCAATAAGAAAGATTCAAGTAGTGAGAAACCTAAATCAATATCAAAATCCAGATACAGAAATGTCATGTACAAATATTGTCATAAGAAAGGTCACATTATTTCTGAATGCTTTAAATTGAAAAATAAAGAAAAGCATACAGAAAAGAAAAATGAGCACAAAAATATTGACACTGCCGAAACAAGTGTAGCTGCTGATGAGACTGAGAGAACTATTTTTTAGCAACTAATAATAGTTTCAAATCTAACAATGAGTGAATTTTAGATTCGGGTTGTTCTTATCATATGTGTCACAATCGGGATTTATTTACCACATATGAATCTATTGGAGGTGGAGTTGTCTTGATGGGAAACAATGTTGCCTGCAAAGTTATTAGAAAAGGTACATTCCGAATCAAAATGCACGATGGTGTGGTAAGAACTCTCATCGATGTTAGACATGTTCCTGACTTGAAGAAAAATCTCATCTCTTTAGTTACTCTAGAATCTCTTGGGTGCAAGTACACAAGTGAAGGTGTACTTTTGTGATCATGAAAGCACGCAGATCTAGTACGTTATATACTCTTTTGGGATTTACTGTTACAGGTGCTACTGCAGTTTCAATATCAGATAATTCAGATTCTGACATAACCAAATTGTGGCATATGCGA